TTCGCAGATAAATGTGGAGCCATTGGTATCGCTCGTGTAGATCACTGTCTCAGGATATTCGCCTTAGCCTGGCCCTCGAAACCAAACGTGAAGATACCAAGTGAGCAGCAGTGCAAGTAAGTTGTCTTTGCTTGGGGGAGGAGGGGCGGAGAAAGGGTTGGTGAGGGTGTCTGTGTGTGGGTGTGTGTGTGGGGTTGCTCGTTGGAAAGATTGTATAGGATGGGGTGTCGGGGGTCGGGCTCATGAAGTTTCGGGTGTTTTTTTTTAATGAGATGTTATCTCGGGATTAGACGTTTGGAAATCACAAAAATCCCCGAACAAAGTATCCTGTTGGCTTCTAACATTAGGTCTAACTTTAATTCAAATCCTATTTGGGGTGGAACAGAAAGGAGGAGGGGGTTGGGGGTTGGCTAGAATAGACTTTAAAACACAGAACTAGATTTGCCAACGGTCCATAGTCAAATCCCTGGCAAGAAGAAATGTACGATAGGGGGGCTAACGACAGCAGAACCACTTGCCGACGTCAGATGAAGCCTTCTTGACGATCTTGGCAGGAAATATCTTTCTGGGTCGTTCGCAAATAATGTCACCCTCAGGGGGTGGGGGGTGTCGAGAATTTGTGACACTTTATGACAAAGGGAAAAGGGGGTGGGGGTGTCGAGAATTTGTGACACTTTATGACAAAGGGAAAAGGGGGTGGGGGTGTCGAGAATTTGTGACACTTTATGACAAAGGGAAAAAGGGGGTGGGGGGGTCAAATATTTGCGACGAGATTTAAAAAAAAAATCATCTTAAATTTTCTAATTTTGAAAAATCTTCATTCAATTAATTTTAAAAACATTAATTTGAGGTTGAAATTGCCTCTGTTGTTATAGGTACCGTGAACCTCAGGCGTGCACACCTACGCAAAAACTGTTGTGGCCACTTTATATTCAGCTTCTGGATGTCTTCGTTGTTTTGCGTCACAGTTTTCTAATCATACAACATCTTAATCTATTTTGGGATAATGTTAAGCAATAAAATAAAATCTTAGATTAGTTATTCACATTTAATGTATGGTTTGATTTTGATTTTTCTTAGGATTATCGTGACAATGAGGGGGGGGGGGGGGTTAAAGAATTGTGACACTTTGAGACAGGAGGTGAGGGGGTGGGGTCTAAAAAGGTCATTTTTACGTGACGTAATTTGCGAACAACCACTTATTTAAAACTCTGCAGCTACCTATTGCATAAAGTAAAAAAATAGCCAACTTATCTTATGTTAATTATTTAACGGTGGCCTGCACAACATACGGCCCACTAGCACCCACTTTGCGGCCCGCGAAATAACGAAATATTCTTTTTTATTATTATTTTATTAATAGCGTTCCCCCCGTCCTATTTTCTTTAGGCTCTCACAAGTTTTTCATGAAGTATTTACGGCCCGCCTTACATTTTGAGTGGTGCAGGCCTGCCCTAACGATTTCACTATTTATTCATGGTTCCAAAATGAATGCACTATTTTATTTCAATATCGTTCTAGAGACTACGTCACGGGCACGAGATGTCTCGAAAGGGCGGGATTTGGGGAATGCGCCACCTTGCGGCAATATTTCAAATCAAAAACTGAAGGGCGGCAAGTGGCGAAACAAATGATGCAGGAGAAGTGTCCCGGCCTGGGTGGCTCAGGATATGGTAAGAATGTGGTTCTCTTAGAGAATCTTAGGTCAAATATTTGCCTTGATTACCTCAACTTTTAAACAGCAAACTTCTTTCGCCGAGAAGCTGACTAAACAAATATTCAAACTAAGAATTAGAAAAATATGACGTAAACTTTTGTATTCTTTCTGCTTCTGCAGGATTAGCCCCAACAGTCCTGGCCTTGACCCTGGTCTGTCTGCTTTCTGTTGTATGGAATACTCTCTAACCTCTCTCGGAACATGGGACGATGCAGTCCACGTGACCAATGACGTCTATCTCTTGATTTTTTAAAACTATTTTTTTTTAAAAGATGGTCTAAAAATGTATAGCTTAGCCTTTACTTAACATTGTTGCCTCTTTGTTAACGTGTAAAAAAAAATATGTCCGTTTGTTAACATTTCGTGTGAAATCATAAATTTAAATTTTCGTTTTGAAAAAAAAACAACATAACTTATAAAACAAAATAAATAATAACAAGGAACTGCATTCATGCTTACTAAGCTTGAATGTTATGCTTTCGTGCTTACTAAGCTTGAATGTTATGCTTTTGAGCTGCCTGATGTAACTGATGCCAATAATTTCCATTGTGATTCGCAGGAGCCCTAGCTGGCAGCTGTACACATAGTTACTTGACTAACATAAAAGAATCTCTTGACGAGAAAAAGCAGGTCTCGAGTAGTTAGTCTCAAGCTATATTGTACGTCACAACCACCTAGGCAGTGTATAACATTAGTCAGTGTATAACAATAGTCAGTGTATAACAATAGTCAGTCTATAATATTTATCAGTGTATAACGTTAGTCAGTTATAACATTAGTCAGTGTATAACATTAGTCAGTGTGTAACATTATCAGTGTATAACGTTGGTCAGTGTATAACGTTAGTCAGTGTATAATTTTAGTCAGTGTATAACGTTAGTCAATGTATAACATTAGTCAGTGTATAACATTATCAGTGTGTAATATTAGTCAGTGTATAACATTAGTAAGTCAATAACGTTAGTCAGTGTATAACATTATTCAGTGTAAAACATTAGTCAGTTTTTAACGTTAGTCAGTGTATAACGTTAGTCAGTGTATAATATTAGTCAGTATATAACGTTATTCGGTTTTAAGGTAAGTCAGTGTATAACGTTAGTCAGTGTATAACATTAGTCAGTGTATAACATTAGTCAGTGTATCAGTGTATAACATTAGTCAGTGTATCAGTGTATAACATTAGTCAGGGCCGTCTTAACAGCATTAGTGGCCCTGAGCAAAACTATGCACTAAGCCCCCCCCCCCCTTTTCCTCTCGCCTCCATTCCTCTCTAACATATTCCAAAAATGTTAGGAAACGCCTTTTGGGCCCATGTTGGACCATGCGTTATGAAAAGTGTTACTTTGGGGCACTTTCTTTGGAGGTACTTTAACACATTGCTAAGAGGAAAAAAACAACGTTTTTTTTTTTTTTTTTTTTTAATGTTGAGGAATATTTCTTAAAACTAGTACCAAAAGGAAATGGAATTGCTTTGAACATGAAAAAACAAAACAAAACAACAACCCAAAATAGCAACAAACCAACAAGGCAACAAACAACAGACAACAAACAATAGACAACAGACAACAGACACAGCGTGTACACCAACGTCCAGGAAACCTTCTTCTAACCTGACTTTAATAGAAAATTACATTTCCTAAAATCTTTCAATATACATTAACAATATTGGCAATTAGATGCCCCTAGCACCGTAAAAGCCCCCTCCCCCCCAACCCATAAGTGCGAGGCCCTGGGCAACTTCCAAGAGTGCCTGTGCCTTAAGACGGCAACTGACAATGCTATCTGACAGCGAGATAGAATGAACGTCCAGGACACGTATATTTTGAATATTTTCGTCACACTTGTCTAGACTCCAGTCACTAGGCTCTAGACATTAGTCTCTAATCCAGTCACTAGACTCTAGACATTAGACTCTAGACATTAGAATCTAGACTTTAGACTCTAGACTCCGGACAGTTTTCTTTTACTTAATGCTTGCACGGTATTTTCTGTCAGTGGCGTCACTGTGTAATTGATAAACTTGGGCATGTAAGATGGCTGTTTTTTTTCGGTGTAAATCTGTCATGAGAATTTATTGGAATGTTTACCATCACCAATGCCTTATACTTACACTACAGTGCGTAAAATACATATATTTTTAGTCCATGAAAGTTAAAACCCTGAAATACTTCAAAATGTTAAAAATATATGTTTTTTAGCACAAAATCGTTGTGTGTGTATGAGACCTCTTGGCAGGTTTGATATAAACGATTTAATCATCTTTGCAAGATCGTATGCTTTTTTTTGTCACAATTATGCAATGCTATTTCTTAATCAATCAGAATCAAATGCAGGATTAAGAAATACAACAGATTAAGTAAATTTAAAAAAAAAGACAAACACAAAGAAAAATCAGAGAGAGAGAGAGAGTGAGATAGAAATGAGTGATAGAAAGAGAGTCAGAGAGAGCAAGAGAGAGAGAGAGAGAGATGGAGAGAGAGAGAGAGGGAGAGAGAGAGAGAGAGAGAGAGAGAGAGAGAGAGAGAGAGAGAGAGACATAAAAACCGCACATGATTCTTTCATAATATTTTGTCAAATTATATTAATAAAAGTTTATCACCCCAGCAATGTGTGTGTGTGTGTGTGTATATTTGATCTTCTCTGAGATGTCGT